GAAGCATGGCAGTTGACAGAAGAGAGGAGCGGGCGTCCGTTCTTGCTGGGAGGTGCCAGCATAATTGGCCTCTAATTTTTGAAGTATGAAGCTCGTGTAGTCTGATGAGCAGCTGAACGTGGTAGTGCTCTTTCGCACGAACCAAGACACCCGAGAGCTTTAATGGCGACGGAGAGGCGGGGGGGGAAAGATACGGGATAATTAACCGCTTATTTAAGCCCTGATGATATGAGTAACAAGTTAGGATTCTTGGGAAAATTATGCCATAAGTGAGACATAGGATATGCTGTGACATTTGTTCAAGTGTCCCACCCACACAAGTCTTGAGCTTTTAGATTGTTCTATATTCCACACAATCTCGTCCAAGTGACACCTCAGGGGTCTGAACGAATTGGAACTGGAACTACATTTCTTAACTCTTCTATATGTAATTGAATGTATTTTTAGAGTTTGGTTCAAAATTGATATGGGAGACTCGGGTGTTGTTGAGTGAATCATCCTTTGATGCTAACCTTGGTGGCCGTAGCGATAAATTTAGACAAACTCCTTCAACAAATTAGATTAGACCAAAACCCACAGAAAACACAAAAAAGCTCACCTCCATTATGGGAACTGAAAGGGGAAAGAAAGTCTCCAAGTTGGGAAACTCCAGCAACAGTTTGGCACATTCAAAATGACCTATTTTTGTTGAAACATCCACTCATACGGTACATTACACATATGTTTATAGCAGTTGATTTTATTCATACATATTGTATAAAGATATTATAATTTAAAATATTTAATATTTAACACATTTTTGAGATGAAAATCAACAGTTATCTAATGCTAAAACTTCAACATTCAAATATTGCAGACGGGACAAGAATAGCTTAAACCATCTGCTGTCTGACACTAGGTATCATTTACAGGTCAGAAGGTAAAAGTGATTACTGTGATGCTAAAATTGCAGTTTCAGAGGAGAGAGGATGCTGGTATACATTATAGCTCATTCATATCTAAGTGTATATTTTTTACAAATTCACAAAGAAAGAAATAAATAGAATACAAAAATCAGGTTCACACTGATTATGCTAAGAGCATATGCAGACCTGAGTGACAGAAACGTCTCTCTTTGTGAAAGCCCCTGCGTCTGCTCATGTTTTAGAAGGTCTGCCTTTATACATGCAGTTTAGCCTTACTATAGCTGTGCTTCTATGGTAAACTTTCTATTCTGCTCTTTTCTCAAACCCCATCATCGGCACCTCCAGGCTCCATGATGCACAAAGCACTCCCGGTGGCCTCTATTTTCTTCTCAGATTACGAAGTCTTGAGCTGAAAACAGCTTGGGGTCCACATATACTAATATTACACAGACAACTATAGGCAATGGAGCGAAACAGAACAGATACTATAGTTTGTACCAGTTTCTTTGCAGAAACTACACACACGACATGGCACAAGTAGAAAAAATTGAATGAAACACAATCATAATCACAGTTGAATCACTCAATTCTCCGACACTAACATGCTAGATTGCAGTTAGTTACCCCGTCAGTTTAATGTACCAGTAAGAATGGCATACACCTTCCTGCATATGTGCATAAAGGACAAAACTCTAGTCAGAATCTGCTAATTTACCAGCAGCTATTTGTCTCTTGCTGCCCAAACGTTGCCATAGTTACACGACTCATCACCATTTAAGAGTGTTAGAGGATCTTTATTCTAAAGTGTTTAAGAGAAACAAAGCCTTGTAGTATAGAAAAGGACAAGGAGGAAAAACGTGTATCCGTTAATTTTATCTAAGTTTTTTTAAATATAGTAGACTGTCAAAAGCCTATAAATAAAACACAACGGCCAAATATTTATAGTGCACCAAGCAGGATTCTGGTTTGTCTATTTCTAGTACGATAAATGGAATAAGAAAACTTTATGAAATTTTTAGCAGTGTACGCCCACAGAAAAACTTCATGATTTATTGTTTTCATTATGTCAAAAATCCTATTTGTATCAGAGGCGAGGCTCCATGGGTTCACAAAACTGAATACATTTCTATTTTGTTGAGCTCCTAATGCCGGTTATTGCTTAAAATTTAAAATACCTAATGGCATCGCCAGAAAAAACAGACTAAAGAAAAACAATACTGTCCCTTTATGTCTGACACAGTCAGCATGAGACAACATCATGAAAAGAACTGGTTACATAATAAAAGCTGGTGCAATGTCCACTAATTGCTGTTGTCCTTTGAAAAATGATTGTTTGCGGGACTCATCCTGAGGTGAGCAGTGGGATGAACGGACGAGTCACCCAGTCAAACTGGGATCTGACTAATTAAACTGGGGCATAACTAATTATTTATAGAGATTATTATCTGGCACTGTAATTATATTTAACCACATTCAAAACAATACAAACAAAACTGTATCAACCTGTATGTGGCGTACTTTGTTTAGGCTAAAAAGTTGGTATTCTTGAGAATGCATGTTACACTGTGGCCTAACGGTAAGAGGACCAGCCTTATTATGACGACTGCGGTATGCTGAGCAAGTACCACATTTCACAGGAATTGGTTAAGGTCGTTAAAGGGTATTTTTTTGCGAGTTACATCATTTCAGATATCCAAAAGAGATCTGCACATATTTGGGTTTTAATGGCTTTTTTCCTCCTTCTCAACATGGGGTCAGATAATTGGTGCATTTAAGCATCGCAATTTAAAAGTGTTCTTGATAATCAAAGCTTGTGTGTCTTAAAAGTTTTGTTCTACAGTGGTTACAAAGTTTGCCCACAGGCTGGGGTAGAGTTTATCATAGTGCTTTTTGGTTTCTCTGTTTATGATATAGTTTCAGCTCTTAAAAAAGAAAAATGGCTTCAAGGTTATAACAAAAATTACAAAGCCAAGAGGGGCGGGGGGCTAATTAGGGCCTGCAGCAAATTAAAAGAAGTTTTATCCAGCAGAGCAGGATATACACAGGGCAAAACCATAAGGGTCACGTCTCTTCCTAACAACGGTCACAGATGTGTTCAATTACCGTTAACTTACAATCAATAGGATGACCTACAAGGCATGAGAGGAATTTGGCTGCTTTCAGTGATGCCTCTGTTCTGTAAAAAAGAGAACCTTCTTCCACTGTAGATTTTTACTCCGTCCTAAGGCCGGTCAATTGCATCAATAACTCCCAACAACGACACAAAGAGGAGAAAATAAGGTGAGAGACCTCCGCTGTGAGTACACTCCCTCTTCCCACTTAATGTTTAGCTAGGCAGGTTGTAATTTTTTTTTGTTCTTTCTTTTCCTTTTCAGGACTTTCATGTAATTTTGTAGCTGCCAGCCACTGACAGGATTGCAACTTTAATGCACTTCCTGTGTGTGTATCACGAAAACGTACGTATGAGTCAAAGCCTGAAGATGGGCAGCCCGTTAGACCTGGGTAATAAAAGGTACGGTGGTTGAGTTGATGGAGTCTAGTGATGGCTGACCGAGGTTCAATGTCCGGCCATCGCAGTTAATTCAGTGAGTGCCCTTGACCTAGTGGTAATAGTATCGGGGCCTTATCCTCCTGAGAATTTCAAGTTTGAATCCCACCCTTAAGCATGACTTCTCTGTATTTCCTAAATATATCAAATGATTCAAAATGAATCTGATTTGTTTAGAGGGTTAATGACCATAACTTGTGATTAAAAGTATAGCAAGGAGAAGAATATGAAACGCAAGAACCTTCAAGAAGAGAAGAATTCCCTGTGGGGTGATGATATGTATGAATTCATGAGATGGCGCCTTTATTTAACGGCGACGTCTCTAGAGTCACACCACCACCTCCTCCTTTTGTCTTACTGCCCTCTGTTGTCCTAATTACTCGAACAGCTGGAATGCGTCCAGCATGGTGACCCAGTCTGGAGGAGCCACAGTTTGACTATCTCTGTGAACAGCAGGATGCTGCAGTTCTGGAAGTCCCTCTCACGCAGCAGTCATTGCAGCTGACTCATTAGGAAGGACAGGATTACAAGTCTGTGGTGGCTCCGCCTTGGTCGTGCTGGGGTCCAGCACGCCTCTCCCCACCCGCTGCGTATTGCTCAGGTCTAGGGGCAAAATGGGTCTCTCGATGGGCAGAACAGCTGTGGTGCCCAGCACTAACATCTGATCACTGTTGTAAGCAAGGGGTTTGTGGTTCCTGTTAGACGAGGCAGAAAACAGTGAAAAAAGCTAATGAGTGACCACAGGAAGAACAGATGTCCTGGACGACAGGCCAGATGTGAACGAGAAACAAACAAACAAAAAATACAAATTTAAATTTAAAATAAAATGGTAAAAGAAAGCAAAGAAAAGAGCAAAAAGTACAATGATGAAGAAGCTTCAAGTAAGCAGCTGCCACAATAATTGCACGGGCCTTTGAGAAGGAAGAGAAATGTCTCTTAAGATAGTCATGATGAAACAGATTGAATATGTTTTTTGTTCTCAACACACATGACATGTCTAAATCTAAAAAAAATAGTTCATGAAAAGGGCATAGAATTATAGGTGAGCAACAAACGCTGAGCTATTTATGAAAACTGAAAAACATTAACTGTGGATTTTATCCACGTACTGTATAGCCACACCCATACACATTTCTTGTACACCTACCTTATTATATTTATATATCAGGTGATAAAATAAAGGCGAGGACATCAACAAATGCACAGAGAAACATTCAGAGAAACATCAAGGTACAGTAATGGCCACAACACGTGCTGCTGCTCCTGCAATCTTTTTAGATTACATTTTTAGAAAGGGTATTCCAAACCTGTTTCAAACTATATGGTTTATATATATAGATAATAAATAACAGACCTTTATCAACAATCACAACACTTTACACATAAACTGCATCACTTTGATTTGAAAACCTTTTCCGGCTAAAATATTACAAACAAACGAACAGCTGTTTTTCTGTTGCTAATTAAGCATTGTCCTTGGATTATGCACCATATTTCCTTGTGTGTGGGTGTGGGTGTGTGTGGGTGTGTGTAGGTTTGTTGCCTACCTTTTTATCCAGCTTTCGACGTCTCACCTCTCCTTGTATCAAACAGCAGTCAGATGGTAAAGGGAGGAACACATGCAAATCTCACTCCTTTAATTGCTGCCATGTAGCACCAGCAGATCCTGAGTTTTGCATGGAGCAGAACCTGTGGGAACAAGAAAAAAAACATTCCATATCACTGTGTACAATTTTTTTTTTGCTTACATCCAGCATGACTAAGCTTGTGTGAGTGAGTCCGTGGGGAACATATTTACACCCATCTAATGTCCACCATGTGTCAATTTACATGTGTACATTTACACATTGTAGATTTGTCTGATAACAGTTGTCGTGTATCTATTAAAATTTGGAAAATGTGACAAAATAAAACAAAACACACCTTGCCCCTTCTTGCCCACAGGCCTAGTGCACTGTGGACACAGGCCGCTGGCTTTCTGTCTTTTTACCTCTTTCTTTGGGCCTCCAGCCTGATGTCCTTCTGTATGTTTTGTTTTCCTGGATTCATGTCACGTGATTATAGGTCGTTGACATTTAGTTTTAATTGCAATCACCGTTTCATCGGGACTAGAAAAGTGCAAAGCATTTCACTGTGACACAGACAACAAAGCCGCAAAAAGAAGCCAGTGGAAATGAAGGTACAGAGAAGCGTACTTGCGCACTTTGATTCAATAACTTCAACTGTTTTTTAAAAAAAATTTTAAATTTTTAAAAAATGCCGCATCGCCCTTTGATCAAAGCAAAATCTCGTACTGTCTTAATCTGGTATTTAAATTTAGTGCGCCGACCACCCCCGCCCCCATCAACACCTCACCCTCCACCAACCCCGTGGCCCTCAGCCCTCGTGATTTACAATTGCACAGTTGCCTGATGTTGGCTGTTGAATTAATGAGCAGCTTATTTCCTTCGCAGTTCCTTTGATATGTTAAAGCAGTCGAACTCTCCAACTGGCTGCAGCATCTTCGCTGACAAACTTTTACCTCCGTAGACAAAAAAGGAAGGAGTGAGACGGAGAAAAAATGAAAAGGACTGGGATAAATGAGAGTAGACAGTAATGGTGGAATAAAACAGGCCTGTGTGACTCCTATGTAGTGGTGGAGGAGGGGGAGTGGGGTCCTTATTGGAGTGTGCCATTAGTTATGGTCTCATTTAAAGTCACTCATGCTTGATTGACAGCACCACTGGTATGGAAATAGTCTGAATAGCTGCGGAGCTCCTTCACGTAGCCCGACAGAGGAACTCCCTCTGGTTGAGTGATTGGACAGGTTAAGTTGGGATCAGGCTCACTGCCTCCACCAGTAAACCATTAGCCAAGAACAAATTACACAAGTGGGCCTTTTTGCTGCTGTGAAATGAAAGTATGAGGTATGGTAGGGCTCCGGCACTTACATTTATTTTCTCTAGTTCTCCAAAAGACTAACACAGCGCACATCAAATACATATTATTCACAGTGTGTAGCCTCAAATAGTCAACAGTAACCGTCTGAAAAATCGTAATCCTGCATGTTTTGGCAGAGTCGTGTCAGGAGAACAGGAGATGAAACTCGCACTCAGATGCTAATGCCAACGTCGATGCTTAAAAGTAATGCTTGAACGAACTTCATAATGATCAAAACATTTAAAAAACTAGCAAGTTAAATAGGCCATTCAACATGTCGTAAAAGCACATCAAGGACACATCAAGAAATAATCATATAACACTTTACCGCAAATGCCACTCAGCAGAAACTGTGAGAGAAAAGTTACATTTTTCACATCTCTGTGTGAGTGTTTGGAGGACATGGCCTTGGAGAAGTAGTCGTTGCTCATACACCCCCTCCCCTTCCCCCTCTTCCTCCCTTCTTTGGTGTCGTTACTGTCATTTTGTCTTTCTGTTTCAGTTCTCACCTTAACTTTTCCAGGAGTCATTTTTGGCTGATGCAGCACTAATCCATGACTCCAATCAGAGTAGAGTAAGAAAGCAAAAAATATATATATTTATCAAATTTGTGTTACTGTTATATGCCATTTCTCTTGCCTATAATTGTGGTCATCAATGCTTCAGTTTAGCCTGTTTAAAACTAAACATTTAAATATGCAGAGTCAGACAAACCTCAAAAAAAACAGAAAGTTTAAAGTTACAAATGGAGCAGATGAGTTCTGGGAACAGCAGGTACTTTTATAATACAGTGTGCTATGTACGAGATGACAAGATGTGTTTGGAGTGCTCAGGGCAAATTGGACAGTAGATTAATTTTACTGAATACTTGGTGATACTGCATCCCAATATAAATGTCCACATCCCCCTGTCTCACTGCAGCAAACAGATGAGTTCATAAACGGACAGTGGAGGACGGACTGTGTCCTTAGACAAACGTGTGTGTGTGTGTGTGTGTCCAGCCACAAACCTAGAGATGAACTACATAGATCAGGAGTGATAAGTCATTTCCACCTCATGAGGTTGGGTTCATGTGTTAGAGCACGAATCCAAGCCCCCCGTCCCCGTCTTGCTATCCTTCTTGCATGCCCAAGTGGTTTTGTCAGCAATTTGTGTTGTAACCAGCCTGTTGTGACACTTTAATTATGTCTGCACTTCTCTCATATGCTTATGGTTAATGCACTGACATCAGAGTTTTTAAATAACATCATTTAGAAAGTACACAGTTCCCTCACTTTATAATTGAGCCGACAGATGTTTAAATTTAATGGGCGGCAGACTTCGGTTCACTTCAGTAACAGGTTGATTTCTGGTTCAAACTTTGTACTTGCGTCAGGCCATAACTGGACATAGAGCTTTGAGTCGAGGTCTGTGGCGTAACGCTGTTGCAGTGGTCACCCAGTGTTTTCAGTAGCGCCCCCCATTATTGATAAGACTTTTGTTAAAACCCTTTGCACTTCAACATATTGGAATCTAATTCATAAAATCTCCACTGACTATTATTTAAAAATCTTAATTTTACAAAACTGTACTCACTGAACAAATTAAGTGACAAGTAAGATGGTACTACTGTAGTACTTTAAAAAAAATATGATGAAAATATGATATGATAAGAAGCTCATTGGCCAACGCTCACTGCAGGTCCATGAATCAGTGTACAACTGAGTTTTTTAAGAGAATTTTAGTATGGATATTCAAGTTTGCCCTGAGGCTACAATTCAGATTTAGATTAGAACAGCATCATCCATGCCTGCAGTGAAGACCCTTTAGTCCTGGCTGCAGTAGACACCATGAAAATACATGAGTCTGTTGGATGTAGCTGTATTATAATTATAACCCTAAAGAAATCGGGTGAAAAGGCAGAACGCATTGGAGAGTAACTAACTTGTACAGTTGACAAAGAAACCATAATCTGACTGACAAAGATATACACTACTGCATAATGGAAAACTAAAGGCAGAAAAAAAAAGTTATTTTATCAAGGAATGAGGTGAAAGACCCATGGCCACAAACTATTACAGTAATAAGCAGCTGTGTGTTTGGTTGTTCTGCTTCTATGTGCTCCAGCTCCCATGTGAGATTACACTGGCATCTTCCTCTCTGACCCAGGTTTGGGGGGAATAACAATAAAAATGGAGGAGGACACAATTTTAGTCATTTAATTACACAGCCCTCTGGACCTGGGTCCTTATGAATATAAGACACACACCCTCCATCTCTCCCTCTGTCTCCTTTTCTCTAACACTGTTGTAATAGAACTTTAAATAAGGCCATTCCGGGTTGAACAAGCTTCACAATGAATTACACTGTATCTCCGCAAGTCAAGGCACCAATGTAATGGATTTTCCCTAGTCTTTTTTTTTTTATTATTCTGTCTTGCGCCAATGCTATGAATTGTGTTAGTCAACCCATTTAGTGTATGAGGTAGTAGTTGAGGTGTGGGAACAGAGGATTAGATAAAAAAAAAAAAAAGCATGCCTATGGCTAGAAAGGCTAATCAACTCAGTGTTTCTGTTTGGCAGAGAAGAGATAACTTTGTCCTTGGCTCGCTCATAACCTCATCAGAATCGCTCAATGAATCACTGAGCACCATAACTCAAAGAAGGGGGCAGCTGTGATACAGTTAAATAATGCCCCGTGTTGGGGAGAGGGGAGCAGCCCTGAAGGTGGAATTCCACTGTATGGAACACGAGCCCAGGGATTCATTTCTTATTTCAATACATTTCTGCATTATTTAATTGGTGATTTTCATATGTAAATAAGGATAACGGATTGAATCCAATTGTAAACATTTGTTTCCGGACATTTTGGAAATGTAATGCAAGTACAGTATATATTTCTGAATATGTCACTGAAAACATCAAGACTTGACATCATCTTTGTCTCCTCCAAATGCAACATTGTTTGTAATGATTCAAGACTACAAGGGAAAGGATCTGTATGACTTAGAAATCAAATAACCTGAAATTGATTGAATAATTATACAGTATTAACCGTCATTCCTCTAAAAAATACAATCAAGAAAAAGGGAAGGGAGGCAAAGCATACAGTAATCTTCCTTCAAGGCTTTGGAGCTACACTCTGTCAGACATACCCAGTTGGAGTTGAGCTCCTCTAGTTTTGTGGATGAGAACTGCAAAGAAAAAGGACTTACATTTTGAATTAGTGGGATTAGGTGTTTTAAGAGGCTTGTCAGGTAAACCTAAACCTGAACCTGGCTGCCAAAAGACAGAAACCAACTTGAAACAACTTGCAGTTTCTTTAATGTCAAGAACGACTGAACCTCAACCATGTACGATACGGATACACGGATACAATAAAGTATATTTATTATTTACTCCAGCAGAGACAAGAACATCTCAGGATGTAGCAATCCACTCAATTCACAATACGATCGCAATAATATATTATTATCACAATGTTTTTCCGCTTTTTAACCACTAGCGCTAACTCATTTTTGCAACAAAACAATCTATACCCAAGCAGTTAAGAACTAAAATGTATGCAATCATTATACATGTTTACTGTTTTGTTGACCACAAATAAGAGGGCGCGTGACGACGTCATACGCGGGGCTAGCGCTGTCATTATAAATACATAAATAGAGTAAACAGGCATGAAAACAAATTATACTAACTACTCTGAGCTGTTATGCTTCTTGCCAATGTAGCCCATTCATGTAACACCAAATAACAACAATTATGAAACACTGCATTTACTTTAAATCGTCC